CAAAACCACTCTACCCAGCATTTTTCAAACTTCGGGCTGTGATCCATTAGCAGATCATAAAATCAACTTACTACATCACAATACACATTTTCAAAAGAAAATGAAATAAGACAAAACAGAAAATGGAGTAAAGATAGCTTCAGGAAGTTTTCCCAGTTGAGTGTGATAAAAACAAAACAAAACCCAAAGCCATCAGTGTAACTGCAGTGCCGCCTCCTTGATGAGTAAAGTCGAGAGTGGGCCGTGGCCCCCACTTGGCCGGGGCCTGGACTCGAAGGTAGCTCACTACTAAGTCCAAGCTCAGCTGGCAGCAGATCCCGGGCCTGTGTGTTCAAAAGTGATCAAAAAATGAAGTGTGTGCAGACTCCGCACGAGTAGGTACCACCCTCCCCTCCCCTGGAGGCCAGCCCCAAACCACACCCACTCAGGGGGCCGGGAAAGGTGGCACCTCAGGGAGATGGAGCATGTGGCACCCACATTTTCTTGGTCCATCTAATCCCGGAGGGTCCTTCTTTACAACCAACAGGGTTTCTCCCAACTCTGTGAGGAGATGAATGAATGTGCTGATGGCCTCTTACATAAATTCATTTTCTAGTGAAAGCATACAACTGAAACATCAGAACGGGCCACAGCCATCTACGCCAGGTGAGACATGGGTTGCTGCTTTTTAATGTTCAAAAAGGATGCTGGGAGATGCTGCTGCTGGAGGGAGGCCCTACTCTGGCGTGCTCAGCAGTAGTCCACAGGGGGGAAGTTGTGTGAAGGCCAGCTGCGGGGTTCCTGGGGAGAAGACCTCACAGGGCAAGCTCCTGGGATCCTTACCTCACTACTGTGGGGCAGCTGCTTTCCAATGTAAGAGATCGGCTAAAAGCAGACCGGGACTTTACTATTTCAAAGGGGTCTTGAGAACCACTTTTGGTTCCAAAATCAGTGGCCACATATATTTTTAAGTGTTAAGGCTCTTTCTTGGAGTTACACTTAAAAACTGCAAACAAAGTGCTTCTATGCACTGAATTTCCCTTCCGTTCATTTTCCTTCCTGGGTGAGGGAGGCTGGTACAAGGCTGGCAGTTCTGTGACTCCAACAGTCACTTTACCTTCCAGGCCAAGAAATGTGAAGGTGCCCTGGCTGCGCCCCACTGAGCAGAGGGGGCCGGCAAGAGAGGAGGGCAAGGTGTGAGGCGGCTAGGGCATTATGTGTCACCTCCCTCCTCCTTGGCACCCTGCTCCTTATACACACGTCCTGCAAACCTCTGGGCACGGAGGTACTCACTGCCCCCGGCGCTGACCTGCGTGTTCGCACCACACAGGGTGCAGGGATGGAAGGGTGGTAATCTGGCCTGGAAGCGGAAGGCTGATCCCTGAAAGCCCTTAGCAGCACTCAGCACCTCTCCCCAGCAGAGCTGGAGATCTGAGAATAGGACTGCAGCACAGGAACGATACAACCGCCAGCACACGTAAGGATAGTTAATAATCAGCTCTCTGGCGGGACTGCAGGGGCCTACCACACCCAAAGGAAGGAGAGACGAGGAGACAGTGGAGGACAGCAAGGAGCCTGGAACCATCCGAGGTACCCGGACAGGTTTCCATGTCAGCGCATGCGCAGACACAGGATGTAGCCCCCTCTCCCAGGGCATGCGCACCCCTGCTCCACACAGCAGGGGCTAAGCACTTTCCGCACCAGGTATGTCCTTCGAAACCACGGTCCCCGGGGCCTGTGAGAGTGGAGCAGAGCACCAGGGCCATAACTCACCTGGTCCTGCCAGCAAAGCCCTCTAGTGCCATCTTCCACTGCGACCCTTAGCACACAGCCCATGCTTCGGCGTCTCTTTGGGCACTTTTTGAATGACTGCTCCCAAGTCCATATTTAAGAGTCCTAATAACAATTTAACTTGTTCTCTCATGAAGAGTACCAAGACCAAGTTAGACTCAAGACTTTTTCTACCAAGTAGCAATTCCTTCTCTCATGAAATGTCTGTCACTTAAAATAAAGGCTGTTATGAGAATGTCATTTGGAATTCAGGGCATTGGTATTTTCCATTTTTAAAAAAAGTCCTAAGTGATACTTAGCTTTTTAAGCCCAAATACACTAACTTCTTTAACTTATAAAGAAGGACTCTAACGGCAGAGATGAAGACCATTTATATCCTCTTAACCAGAAATGGCCTATGAATTCCAAACTGGACTGCTGAGAAGAAATCCCATGTTGCTGTGCTGGCCTCTGCTATCAGCCAGGGTGACAGAAGTGCCTGTGTCCGACGCTGGCAGGGACTTCTGGAGGGGAGTGAAGACACGGGACCTATTCAGGTGTCCCTGGGCAGCACAGCTGCAAACTTACTCCTATCCCTCCTGTCTGAGCTCAGACCCTGGCCGTGCATGCAGGGCCAGGAGCCGAGGTGACGCTGCCCAGGTGAACCCCATGGTTATGAACGTGGTGATCTGGCTGTTACTTGCCTTAGGAAGATGTTGTCTGCATCACAGACCCCCACCCTGTTCTCAGCCTCCAAGCTGCACTGAGAAATTACGAAGCTCTATTCTTATTAAGCCTTAGAACTCCGAAGTGTTAGGTGCCAACATTTCTCTAGACTGTCTCCAAGCCAGAAACCCGTCTTCACACATCACAGAGTGATTCTGATAGGAACTTTTTTTTATATTTATGAGGTAGAACTGGGTATACCACTGAGTTAAACTTAGTAACCATGAAAAAAAAAACAAAGGCAGTTGACTGTTAACTCCACTTCTGCTAATCACACTTAACTCATACAGTTTCTGGGGAACACCCTGGTTATCCAAAACCCTGTTATTTTTCTGGTTCTGAGTGACACTCCTCACAGGAAGAAAAGCTATCAGTGTAACAAACCCCAGCCAGAACCCTAAGGGCCTGGGATGGAGGCTCATCTTAGAACAAACCACAGGAGGTGGCCCGAAGGCTAGGCAGAGCGGCTGGCAGAGCACAGCTGGGCAGACCAAATCCTCCCGCTAGGAACAGTGTGCATGTTTGCAAGGAGTTTTAAAAAGTAATGGGGAAAAGATGATGTGCTACTTACATGAAATTAAAGTTCTGGGGTCCATGAAAGGTTCTACTGGCACACAGCCGTATTTGTTTACAAACTGTCTACCAGTTTTGGAGTCACAACAGCAAAGCGGAATAATTGCAGAAGAAACCATCCTGCCTGAAGTAGGAACTACTTGGTCCTTTACAGGAAAAGCTTGCTGACTGCGATTCCTGGCCCATGCTGAGTTCACACAGCTGCATGTATTGTCATCTCTCCAAGGCAACCGCTACCACCCAGAGCCCTTGGCTGTGTGGCCACCTCCCTCAGGTCTTTAGGTCTTGGCTCAGTGTCATTTTCTCTGACTGGCCTTTCCTGAACACTCTGGCTAGAGAAACAGCCCAACTTCACCTGGTGCATCCCCTTCCCAGCTCATCAAAAGTGAGCTTGTAAAGGATGAGTCCCAGTGCCCAGAGAACATGCACGACTCACACTGCATAGTAAGGCCCATGCAGGTCACACGAGTGAGCCACGCTGCACTCAGACTACCTCTGGTCACCAGAATCTAACGGAAGAGGTTGTCCTGTCTTTGGGCAACACCACAGGCTGAGATGCAAAACAAACAACTAGATAAAACCTGCAGTCTTTCTCAAAGGACAGGTTATACAGAACTAAGTCATGCTGTAAGTTAAGAACAGGATGTGTTTGATGCCCAAAGGAAGAAGGAAAACAAGGGCCTAGCACCTCACGGCTTCCGGGTATCGAGGGACAGGTGCCCAGTGCCTGCTCTGACCCTCTTGCCCTGGTCCACGCGGCAGGCACCTGGCATTCCACCGCTATTAGAACAGCCCAATGCCTATAAATAGATAGGACTTTTAAACACTCATTAAAAATAACAGTCTGGCATTTCGAAATGCCTATAAACAAAAATCTAAGCACTGAAATAAACAGTAATAGCCGCTCGTCTGATCCATGCTCAAGTGGGTGAAAAGCTATGCATCTCTTCTCTGGAGTTTTCCAATTACTCCTGAATTTATGGAGCTTTAAACTGCTTAACAATGTCCATCTTACCTTATAGTTAACAAGGAACTGGCTGTTCTCAATGATTGTAAAATTCATTACAATACTGCATTTAACCCGACATATTTACAAAATAGTTTCAAAAAATATGTTGCAATGAACAGGGAGAAATTAACTGTATTGAGATATTTTGATTTTTAATTTTGATTTTTACGCCTCTTCATTTCAAGTGCTTAATATGGCTGCCATATTGGAGTATACAGTTTTTAAATGTTCAGTTATTTTCAACTGACTACAAACCAAACTTACTTGCATTTTCTACATTTTATTTTTAAATGAGAGCTTTTGACTTTGACCTCCTGCTCCTGTGTTTTACTTTAAAATGACTAAATACATTAAACATTTACTATTCTGTTTTTAAAACCTGGAATTCATCTTAGGATTCATATTGCATTTTTCCCAATAAGCTAAAAGATATTAAGGACCACATCATATTGCTTTCCCACAAGCATTCAATTTTCTTCTTTAAACCATGGCTGCTAGATCCAGTTCTCATTTCCTTTACACATGGCTCCTTTCCTGTCCTAACTGAATGCAACCAAGACACTCTGATACAGCTGAGCCAAGTTTTCCTAACGTGCAACAGGACGGCGCCACCATCAGTGTGCAAGACGACCCACCCAGGCTTATAACCTCAAACACTCCGCCCTGACTGCTCACTCTTCAGGAGACTTCCATCCATCTTTCTGATTTAAGAGGAGGGAGAAACTTAGGATCTCAAAATACTGTGGTTATAAGCATAAGCATGCTCAGAGCTGCAACAGGCGCAGCCTGGGAAGCAGTGTGCCCTCTGCATAAAGCCCTGTACTTTACTCATAAACACATGGGGTTCTGCTAATGCAAATCACAGTTTCAACAGTGTGTGGGACTGCAGTGTGGGCTCCACCTTCACCAGCAGTGGAGACCCACCGGTCAAGCCTCTGGTTACCTCTGCGTCCTGCTCGTGGAGATGGTACGTCCTCTGGAGGGTCTGCAGGGTTGGGAGGGTCAGGGTCTTCTCCTCCAACAGACGCTCCAGAAGCAAGACCAGCTGGTCTGGAAGAAGCTGAGGGCAAAACAAACAGCAGGTGAAAATGCCATTCAGCTGACAAGAAATTAGACCCAAACGTTTAGACCGAAGATGGCGGCAAAGCGTGGGTAACCTGGGCGCTGCTGGCATGTGTCTGAAACACCGGCAGACTGCAGTGCTGACTTTGGGGAAACCCTGGGCTCACACTGTCTCCTCAAAGTCACTACGTTCTGAGGTCTGGTGATGCCCTGTTTCCTCAGCTTTTCATTTCAGGTCTATATTTAGGGGAGATCAAAATGGTTCTTATCTTATGAAAAATTATTAGGCTTTATTAGATCTTTGCCTTTATGGCACACATATGCTAAGAAGTGTTATTTAGCCTAGATAAAGATTCAAGGGCCCTTCAATTGTAGGCAAACACATGGAAGTTCAACAGAAAGAAGCAGGTTACAATTTCCTTTCTGAACAGAGAAATAAAGAGCATGCAATGAAATAAATACTGTGCCTCACAATGCCTTCATTACAAAAAAATGGTAAGTCTATAATTTATGTTTATAATACACTAAAAAATGTTAAAAGGATACACAATCATACATGTAACAACACACAACACATAAACCTGATCCATATCCCCATGTTTTCGCCAAGGATGGGTCAAAAATCATTACCACTTAAGGGCAAAAAGAAGCCCTAAGGTGGTACGAAAAATAAAACAAATTTGTGAACAAATAATATCTGCGACGCCCAGGATTGAGTCAGGCTTCGTGTATCTGTTCACTGCTGCACCCAGCACAAGCGGCAGCACTGCCCAAGAGCACCGAGCAGTCAGCCCCACGGAGCACAGAACAACGCGTGGAGGAACAGCGAAGCACTTACTCTAAAACCAAGGTTTGAAGATTACACTTATCTTCCCTTCAGCCTTGCTTATTCCCATTTAACCCTTGTTAACAAAACCAACTGCCACTTCTTGCTACTCAAAAGAAATTTTAGAAATTATTGGCTTCTCTTTCTGTCCCTACCTTTCTGTCCCCAAGTGTACACGATGCCTGGCCCGCCCTCCCTCTCTCTCTCTTCCAAAATGAGCGCACAGGGAAACTGCTGGCTGCATGCACCGCACCCCCACCCAATGTCACGAAGAAAGCATTTCTCTTATATTCTCAGCCCTACCTCCCCACAGACGGGCAGACAGCAGGCTCAGATGCACACTGGCTGGTTCTCGGGTATGTTTATCTCCTGAGTCCACCTAACAGCCATGCTGTGGAGAGGCCCTTGGGCTGGCAGGAGAGGCAAGGTGCCTTGAGCACAATTACAGTACAATGATCACTGACCCAAGCTCCCTACAGGACTGGGGAACAACTACCAACTCCCTTTCTGGAGAAGTCACGAGCCTGTAAGATGCTTTAGAGATATCAAGTTACTACATAACAACTAGTAACAACAGCACCATTCTACCATTCTCTATCATTTAAACATAAGGCTATTTATATGGTAGCAAGTCTGCTGTTTTACAGAAGAGGCCAAACCCAGGCCCCAGCCTCTGCTGAACCCCAAGGTTTGCCCCAGGGACACCTCAGAGGGGCAAGCGTAGGACGCAGCCTGGCAGAGCTCCGGACCGGAGCTTGGCTGAGAAGCTGTATTCTGCCTCTTTTGTAGGCTCCTCCTGTTCTGGCTCCAACTCCACTCAGCCCCAAGCCCGTCTAGCACTGTCCCCTTGGCTCTGTGGCTCCTCCCTGTCCCCAGCAAACCCTACAGTGGTTCACAATGTTTCAACAGAGGCCTTTCTCTACTGCAAGCTGAACCTTCAGCCCATAGCCCTAAGTGCACTCCTGTTCTCCTAAAGCCACACCCCAAAACTTCCTCAACCCACCCCACCACTTCTTTTGCTCCCACTGTTCCCAGAATGCCTGGGACTCTTGGTGGAGCGGCCAGCTCTCCCTCTCCCTCACTCAGGTGCGGAATAGGACAGACCACACTTAGGACAACAGGCTCCAGACTGGATCCAAGTGGCCCTGCCCACCCCGGCCCCCACAGGCACTGTCAACCCTGCAAGCAACGCTGGTGCAGCCACCAGCCAGAGGGAAACAGCGTGCGGACGCGGGAAGGCAGGCTTCTAGGTCGGGGCCAGCCAGGCCGGAATGGGGGCCGTGTGTGCTAACTACTGCAGGAACCAAGCCCTGGCCAATTTGCAGAATTACAGGGAAGGAAAGAGTAGAAAGAAAAGTGTCTCCCAATTGTGCATTTGTGCTTACAAAGAAGCCTATTGTTAGAACTCGGCTTGAGACTTGGTTTAGGCTGAAGAGACCCACAGAGGAAAGGAAGCCCTGAGAGAAGGACCAACTAGCTTGGTCCTCGACTTGCCCCAAAAGAGATCAACCCATAAACACAACTCCAGTTTAAAAATCAAAGCACTACTACTACGGGAACCCACCAAAGTCCCTGGGCTCATCCCGTGTATCTTTCAGTTTCCTCCCAAACAGAAAGCACACACATCTACACGCAGAAACAGGGCTGCAAGCATCGCAGAAAGCTTTTGTTCTCTCCAAATTTTACACAATGGAAATACTTAAAGCTAAGACCCCTGACTTACGACAGACAGTTGAGAGGCAGGGAAGGAGCGCACACATCATCAAACCCTGCGGGTTCTTTGTAAGTTTAGCTGGCTCTCACTAGCGGGAGGCAGAGAGCAAGGGCGAGCCTGCTGCAGGTACCAGGCCTTCTGCGCCGTGGCCCGAGGCGCCTCTGGCAAGAGCCGGCTTGCTCACAGGCAGGCAGGACGCAACCAGCAGCACAGCCACGATGGGAACATCCCTCGTGATGCCAGGAGATTTAGGCCGGGCAGACTTCTCAGAGAGAACTTGCACAAATATTCTTACTCAGTAAACACCTGGCTCTCAACTGTACCTCTCTACCTTAGGGAGGAAATGATGTTTCTAAACAACGAAAAAAGTACACATTATCGGTGATCTAATGTTGTTTGAACCCACAGACAGTAAAACTAACTCTGTATCACTTGTTCACAAGTAAACATTACATCATTTCTTTTAAAAAAATGAGATCACAGACCTTGCAAAGAGGATTTTAGTATTTGCTTCAGTGCAAAAATGTGGTTAAGTAGCTACACTTTAATACAGATTTCTTGTCATAAAACAAACATTCACTCTATGTAAAGCTACAATGAAATATAAAGCTACAATGAAAAAGAAATAGTATGTAATACTCCAAAACATTTGCAAAGCAACAGAAAGGTATCAAATACTAGCAAACGTGCCCAGAGGCTGTACCCGGCAGTGAGATGCGCCCTGGCAGCTGGCACTGGGGAAAGAAGTAATGTTATGTGGATCATTCTTCTCCCACGCATGGAGAAATCAAATTTCACATGACTCCTGGGCCAAGTGGGTTTTCATACAGCAGGGCTGCAAGAGATAGACGTGGCTTTAGCCACACTATGGCACTGTCATGAAAAATATTCCCAGGGATTATCTCCTAAGAGAGCGCCTTGAAACATTACAGAGGAAACCTGTCTGTGTTTCTGGGGGCCTAATAGCGCTTGAACCCACATCATGGCCGCAGAGATAAAAAGTCCTACAGACATGGAATTCATTTGTTATTATTTCCATATGGAGAACAGCTCAGTATTTTTAAAATGCATCTGCCTCAGAAACTTAGACAAAATAAGACTACGGGGTGCCAAAGTCATGTGGGTACTTGAAAGAGAATTGCACAGGACGGTACAACTTACATGAATGCAAGAAACAAAATGCTAAAGCAGGTCAGTCAAGTACAAATGTTATTTGCTAAGGGCTTCAGAAGTCTGCATCCTTGCTGTAAACACAGAAGACTTCACAGTTAATTACTGAGAGGTACACAAAGAAGAAAGTCTACTTTTATTTTCTGCAGTCAGCTGAAGAACTGAGGCAAGCTGTATAACTCTTCAGTGGTTTAAAAAGTTTCTACACAGACTTTTGGAAAGAAAATACGAATTTTTCAAACCTACCTTCCTAACCTACCAGCAGCACAAAGAAAACAAACCTGGACTCTTCCAGAAGCCTCTCGCTGCCGTGACAGGGGCATCACTCACTCTGTGCTCCCCGAAGACCACCCACATGACTCAGGCCCGCCACAGTCTCCTCCGTTAACAAGACGCAAAACGGCCAGCTCACCTCTTAGGTCACAAGGGCCGCGGACGTGCCTCACCACCGGGCTTCCACAGGCAGGACCTGCCACAATGGCCATCGCACACAACACTCAAGCCCCGAGGCCTGTCCCCTGCCGCAGGCCGAGGAGGGCACCCCCTTGGCGGCCCAGCTGGTGCGCTGCAGGAAGTCACTGAGCGGCTCCCGGACAGGAATGAGCCTGGGACTAATGCAGCAACCGATTGACAGTGGCGTGAGTTCTATTATTACCCCATTATCACTCTGGGATCTGTGCCTAAATGAAGCATGCTTCCTCCCTGATGCCATTTCCTTTTATCCTGGCTGGAGACTAAAAGCAGATCAATGGGGGCAATACATATGATGTCACTTCAATTTATAGCGATGGCCTCGCCCTCTTTCAGTCTGTCTGAAACACACAGAAAGATCAATTCTTCCCAAAAATGGTTAAAAAATGCTTAGGGAGCATTCATCTTCCAGAAAAGCATTCTCTGCTATATTTGTCTATGTTACTACGGCAGGAACTGTTTACACAGAACAAAAACAGAAGAAATGGGGGAGGGAGGAAAAATCTCAAATTCCCCCGTATGCCGGAGACGCGCTGGCCAACATCCAACATAGGCAGGTCCCAGACTGGAGCAAAAACAGCTGACCTTTGAAGGTCACACGCAGAGACCATTCGTATAGGGACGAAGCAGAGATTTCCTTTGCTCTTGGATTAAAAAGGTGATCACAAAGATATAAAATGTATCTCATCTTTCTATGGCTCCCCTAAACCTAATCAATTCCCTGCCACTTTTTCCAGAAAGCTCACAACTAGACTCACTGTTCACAGGTGTGTGTGTGTGTGTGCAGGGGGAAGACGTTCATGCCCAGGGTGCCCTC